ATGAATTTTTCTGTATGAAACTGTGTATTTTAATAATGAAATGGAAATCTTTTTTAAAGGTAAAAACCTTACTTAATTTTATGTCTTATAGGGTTTATACTGAGTACAATATTGTGTAACTGTATTAATTCAACTGTAAACCTAAAAATTTACAGCAAATTTTGAAGGAGATGCATCTTAGCCTTGGAAATTGTTATTGAATATGTCAATGCTTTTGTAATGAAATGCTTCTTCTGATTATGTGGTTATTAAATAATATATATATATTCACTAAAGTTGAGAAAGAAAAGGAAAACAAAACACAAAATAGCATTTTAACCAAAACACAGAGGTGGAAAAATATTTAGGGAGTGAGAGAGGTTATGAGGTTGTGGGAATGGTTCAAGAGCAATGATAAGGATAAGAATACTTTGAGAGATAACCCAGGGCAGGGTTTTAAATAAAGCAGTGCATTTTCTGATTCATAATCTCATTTTTTTTCCTGAACACTTTCAGTCTTTTAACTAGACATCAGTTCACAATTGCCTTCTTTAGATGTTCATATGCACTTCCATTTTCATTTATAACACTAGCAATGTGTGTCCAAAAATTATTTAAATATGTACAGGCATGTTATCTCATGGCCTTAATCTTAAAACTAGGAAAACAGGCAGTAGACCTCTCTGAATTCAAGGTCAGCCAGGTCTACTTAGCATAATCCAGGTCATCTAGAACTAAATATTAGAACCCTGCTTTAAAAAATCTTTAAATAACTACAGGAGCCATAATTAACCAATTTAATTAGCATAAGAGTTAATTTTGCCTCTTATCTAAACTTTTTTAATGAATTTGACCATGCCTATACAAAATTTAAGTAGAAAATTAAATAGCAATGTCAAGAAGCAACTGTTGTCAGGAGAATAATAACAAATTATAATCTTTAAACTGGTGCAAATAAAAAAATGGATGAATGGCTTTCAGTATTATTTCTCAGTTATAATTATAATCTATTTTCTCATGGTATGTTATTACCAGAGTCTAAAATTATCCATCAGGAATTAAAATAATAAAAAAGGTTTGAATATAACATATTGGGGGAAAACATCAATTTTGGTTATTACATTTTACCCAGAAAAATATTTTATTTCATAGTTTTATTTTAAGCAATGGATTTCAGATTCATAAAGCAATTGAGATTCGATATCACATATTCATTTCAGAAGCTAATTCTTGAGCACAAATGAACTACTTAACAATAAACCTGTATATGTAGAAGACAACAACATTTAATAGACACAACTACTATGAGTCAGACATGGCAAACACAGAGTAGTTGGCCAAAGCAACATAATATTGCATGCTTTTGCTGTACATTTACTCTGCTGTGATCCACACACTTGTTCAGACAATCTGTTTGGCCAATATCTTAATTCTTTATACACTTTCCAGTGATAAATCAAAAACATCACTTGTAACTTCTGCATGTTCTTTTCCTTAGGCTCTGTCATGTAAAATTAAGGGGGACAAAGAATTGGTATTTAGTATTTTTCCTCAAATACAATTCATCTGATAGTGCTTAGTGAATGGTATGTTACACTAAATTGATTTCTTACCAATTTCACTTGACAGCCTGAGTGTAATAAAACATATGTCTGGGCACACAACTAAGAGCACAGGAGCAGCAAAAGTTGGACAAGATGAGATTTTTTTTTTGTAAGGAAGACACAAAGTTGAGTGGGTAGGAAAAGGGGGTGGACCTTGGAGGAGTTAGGGAGAGGATGAATATGATGAAAATAACTAAAGAACTAATATAAAAATTTTGAAAGCAATAAATTTCAATATTACTATTGTAATTATTTTCATGCAGATGCAGAGAGTTAAGATAGTGGAATCACTAATGCATAAAATTAAGATGAAATGCATTACATTCTTCAAAACAAATTTTAGATCTGGTTCTTCTGGCTTTCATTCCTTCTCTGAAGTGTGGGAGAAATAAAATCACTATACTACTACATTAGCACTGGCCTAGTTTTGTAGTAAAGTGATGCCCAAGAACCTACCATTTGTTATTGAGGAATAGTAGGCATTTTTTGCCCTCTACCTTATTTCCTTAAGAAAAACTCTTTGATTGAACACTAAACTTGCAGTTTTCCAGATAGATTAGTGGTACAGGGAAACCCAGTGATCCACCTATCTCCACTTCACCAGCACTGGGTTAAAGGCATGTTGCCATGCCTGGCTTCTCACATGGATGCTAGGAATTTGAACTCAGGTCCTCACATTTACACACATACACACTGATCAAGGTGTCTAGCATTGTAGGTGTAATATTTTAATATTCATGAGAAACTACTGTGAATGTCCTCCACATTTTCCTGATGGCATTTTTCATTTCCTTATTCCTGAAAGTATAGACCATAGGATTGAGCAATGGTGTCACTACGTTAGCAAATATAAGTGTATTTTTCTCAAAGAAGAAGGCAGATGTAGGTCGGGCATAAACTAAAATGCATGGTATAAAGAACAAAACCACAACAGTAATGTGAGATCCACAGGTAGAGAGAGCTTTTTGTCGCCCTTCAGAGCTGTGTGTTCTCAGAGAGAACAAGATGATACCATAGGAGACAAGCAACAAGGAGAAGATGATGATGCAGATGGACCCACTGTTGGCAAATACCAGAAAGACCAACATGTGTGTGTCAGTGCAGGCAAGCTTCAGTAATGGGAACAAGTCACACATGTAATGATCAATGACATTGGGTCCACAGAAGGGCAGCTTCAAAGTGAAGATAATCTGTATGATGGAATGTAAGAAGCCTCCTGCCCAGGCCACTCCCACTAGAGTGCCACAGAGCCTCCTGTTCATGATGGAAGAATAGTGCAGGGGCTTGCAAATGGCCACATAACGGTCATAGGCCATGGCTGCAAGAACAATCACTTCTGCCCCAGTGAAGAAGTGGATAGCAAACAGTTGAGACATGCAACATTCAAATGAAATGATCTTCCTGTTATAGAAGAAGTCTACAATCATCTTGGGTGTGACAACTGTAGATGTGCATGCATCCAATAAGGATAGAAATACCAAGAAGAAATACATAGGGCAACCCAGTAGTGCAGAGCTGTAGATGATGGTCACCACAACCATCATGTTGACCCCAACAGTTGCAAGGTAAATCAACAAAAATGCAACGAATAATATTTTCTCCACCTCTGAGTTCTCTGAAAGCCCCAGGAGTATGAATTCAGTGACAAAGCTCTGGTTTTGCATGATTCTCAAAGAAGAAGGAGACAGAGAAAGATTTTCATATAAATCTGCAATTATAAGACAAAAGTGCTTCATATAATTTATAATATTACCATCAACAAATTGATACATCCTTAGGCAAAATCGAATTGATTCATTCCATTAATTCCAGCATTTGGAACAGAATATTAGAAACATTTGAAGGATAAAATTGGTTATCACATCAAATTGAAGTATAGATACATTCTTGAATACTTTAAAATAGTGTTTTAAATACTGGGGTTGAAAGCAACAACATGTGTTATAGAATTGAAGTAGTTTCTCTTTGAACAATCAGGTTTTATTAATCTCCAGGAGATTCGTGCACTGAAATACTGAAAGGCATTTAGATATATTCTCAGTATGAACAAGAGGATTCCTTAATCATGCCTGTTATCTGCATGGAATAAGGCTGAGTTGGCTGTAATGACAGAGCAGAACACTGCCTTACCCAGCAATACAACCACAGGCAAAATATGCTTTAGATGTACCTGAAAATCTGGGCTACATTTTAAATTTGTTTAAATGTATGAAAAGAATTGGTACTTCAAATGAATTCATTTAATTTTCATAAACAGAAGGCTCTTTGCGAAGTGTCCAGTTGAGGGGGCTGGAGAGATGGCTCAGCAGTTAAGAGCACTGACTGCTCTTGCAGAGGGCCCAGATTTTATTCCCAGCACCCACATGGCAGCTAAGAACTGCCTTTAACTCCAGTTCCAGGGGAATCCGAAGCCCTCTTCTGACCTCCGCGGCATTTCATGACAAGGGTGCACTCACATACAGGTAGGCAATACACTGATACACATAAAATAAAATTTTTAAAAAATGAAAAGAAAAAAAATGAAGCAAATGTTGAAAGGGGTGCAAATTCACATCTAATTCATCTTTTTCAATTTGCACAAAACTTTATGAAAAATATACTGATATTATGGTGACTAAGAGAAACAATACAAAAGAAACAACTGCCCATGATTCAACCTCCTACTCAGCAAGATATGTCAGGGATCATTGTTGGTATTTTATTTGTGCATGATTATAATTGAAAATGTTAAGATGAAAGAAGCAAAAGGTTACTAAACTGGAATTTTAAACAATACAGGTTTCAATACCTATGAGGTCTCCATGGAATCATCAGGGTGAAGAGTGAGATTAATTTGTTTCTCAGTAAGAACTTCAGTGTAGGGGTGTTCTTTCTAGTTCCATCCCCTCATAAAGGGGAAAGCCTCATATATGTTGGTTATGCGTGAATGAGGCATCTCAATAAAGGCAACAAAGTCAATGAAGAGGAGTCAGAAGTCAATAGACCAATCACCAAATTATGAAATTTGGTGACAACTCATAATTACAGATGAAACTACTCTCTGAATATGATTTAGTCTCTTGAGACTTAATTATGTGGCAGTTATTTATAATATACAAACTTGTTTTAGAAATTTAATTCTTTTCTTATAGATATAGGTTTTGACACCTGAATTTACTGTACTATAAAACACTTTCATAACAGTTTACCTGCTGATCCAAAAGGATTATAAAGTGGTAAATTGGTGAATGTCAAAATATCACTCATGGCAACGTAATGTTGCAGTTCTAGGGACAATCCATGCACTTGAAACCCAGCTGCCTTACCCACAGAAAGCTCTTCCAGGATACCAGAGGGAATTATTGCAGCCCTCGAGTTCACTTTCCCTAGGTCTTCGCATCTTCAAGTGTTGTTGTGGCATACATCCAGCATGACTAAAATGTATCAGTAAAATATAATTTTTGTGTTTGAATATATACATGCATGTGAACATACTTAACATACTTGCTGTTACAAATCCATGACAAATAAAAATGCACTTGCATTGAGACAAAATATTGAGTTACTTTCAATGACTGATATTTAAAGGGAACTGACAATTTTGCATGTCAGTGCATCTATCCTATGATGTTCTATATAATAAATTTCAAAAAAACCAATTCCATGAGATTCTTATGTCAGTTCCTACCCAGCATTTGCAATATGAATTCTGTTTCCACTCATGAGGTAGAGTCGAGAAAGGAGTAGTATAAAACAAATTCTACAAAGTTGTTGTTTCAGGCAAATATGAATTATGGTAACTGAGGAGACTGCTGTGTAATTTGCCAGTTGTTATTCAGCTCTAAAGGAGGATAGTCATAGACTGTGATAAATAATAAGAACAAAGGACACAACACACATGCATGGAAATATCATAGCAGACTCAAAAATTTCTATAATGGTTACATAGGGCACAGCCCCAAAATCATGTTAGACTTGAGATTTCACTCAGAGTCAATCCCTTACCTTTTTTATGGATGGATCAGGTTACTTAATGTGTCTAAAATTTTATAAGCCTTATAAATGAATTTGCTAAGCAGGGGCATCCAAAGTGCTTTTGTGACAAACATAAAAACTGACAGGATCAGAGAACAAAAGCAGATGATGTGTTGAGAACAAGTTGTCCCAGACACTGACTCACGACTGACAAGCTATTTTTAATACTAATTCTTGTTTTCATGCAGCCAAACCTGATAAATGCTTTTCTTCACGTTCATTCACAAGATAAAATTTTTGTTTCAGAGGATGCAATAAGATATGACACTTTCAATGCAAAATATGTTCTAACATTGTTAGTTAATAATGCAGTGTTAAAGCCTCATATCCATTCCAACTACTTCTGTTTCCAATATCTTCTTCTACAAAGAAATCCAAATAGAGAATGAGGTTCTGAGGAAAACAATGTTGTATGTTCATCTAAATATTAAGTAAATATTAGATTCAGCTTTCATGTTCTACATTGTTCATTAATTACAAACAAATGACACTACTACATTTCCAGTAGAGTAATTTGAATATACAATGTAGCAATGCGCTGTGATTATAGAGGTTATGATTTTAAATAATTTAGACAAGAATGACTAATACAAAATGTGTAGTCTAAGTTAAATCCTGCAGCAAAATAGGATAGTAGCTGAAAATTTAGCTAAATATATATGAAATTTGTCATTTAGTTGACAATGTATATTTCAAGTCTTTAACAAATGTGTTCATAGCAAAGAAGCGAGCATGTATCAACTGAAGCTAAGTTAATCATAGCCTACATCCTTCTATACTGTCATATTTGGGTTAATATAAAATCAGACTAAGTGAAATGTTATATAGAAATTAAAATTGTTTGACTGCTTTGGTGAACTCTTGAGTAAGTTGGAAGCCCAAGAGCCAGGAGTACATATGATCAAAATATACTGTATACAAGCATGAAATTCTCAGAGAACAAGTAGAAAGATACTTTTTTTTTTTTTGACTTTTTGAAACAGGGTCTCCCTTTACCCCAGCTGTCCTGGATTCACTATGGAGACCAGGCTGGCCTCAAACTCACAGAGATCCACCTGCCTCTGCCTCCCAAGTGTTGGGATTAAAGGCCTGTGCCACCACACCCACCTAGAAAGAGGCTTTTTAAAAAAGAGTTTTATGTGTAACAGCAATGTGCCGTTGTACAAAATACCACACCTCAAGCGTTTTGGCAAACACCAATTTAGGTGAATATATTAATCAGTCAAAATAGAAATGTCTCTAAAATGACATTTGAACAATTATAGCAGTGATATCACTTCATTCAAGTAGTACGTATAGAAAAAAGATATTTAATAATTCTGGACATATAAGTGTGCTTATATTATCTTAAATAATAAATATGCCCCTAAAGTTTTATTCTAAAGTAAAATAAAATGAAGAAATTAAATCAAAATGTGATGTAATGTCAAAATTATTGACAAATGGGCATGGTGAGATGACACAAATGTTAACAATACTTGCTGCTTTGTCCTCCAACCAGGATTGAGCTTCCAGTACCAAAATGTTGTCATAAAACAGTCTTTAACTCCAGTTCCAGATGATAGGGCACCTTCTTCTGACCTCTGTGGACACCAGGCATGAATTTGGTGCACATACATACATGTATGAAACATCATACACATAAGATAAAAATGAATGTTTTTAAAAAATTGGAAAGTGAGAAATATCTGAATCACTTATAATGGTGGCGACTGTGTAAATAAGATTATTAAAAATTGCTCTCACATGACCTGAATCTAATCAATAATATGAACACATTGAAGATGAAGCCATATAATAGTATGTAGTGAGGAAGACTGAAAAATTAAATGATCATTGATAGATAACAAAATATATTTCATAATACAGAAGGAAACATAAAATAATAGATTTCAGTTGTAACAAACATTTTGTTATTACCACCAAAGTACTTAAAATTACACATCAAAGTTCCACAACTTTCCACAAGATCCACAATTTTTCTTGGAAATTTTTTTTGACAAGTTGACTTAGTTTACTTATGCCGTATTGTATACATTCATTAAAACACTTTTCAGTGATATAAATACATATATTTTATATGAGATAACAGAAAAGAAACACATGAAGTCATATCTAAAAATACACATAAAATGCTGTTCTTTCAGTATATAATTACTTTTATATTCTTGTTCCCCTTTAAAATGTCTTCAAATCATTGGTAACATCTCAAGTACTCTGTAGACACATATAGTTAACAGCTACAATACTGAACAACATAACTCTAAATCATTTGGTCTATTTCTACACTTCAAATGAGTACATGACTTGAAATATTTGAGAAAATTGGTATTTAGGAAAGGATGCAAGTAGCAACTACAAACATCCTTCATCTTTTATTCTAGGCTTCTTATAAATGAAGCCATACTTTTATAAGGTAGTGAAATTTGGAGATCATTCATCAGACTATCAAAAGTTGAAATAAAGTAAGGGTACATACACAACACATTATCTTTCTTAACATTTTATATTAACAATATAGTATAATATGTTAACATTTAAAATTATTATAAACATTTCAAAAATGGCAATACTGTTGACACTTTCTCACCTTCAAATTCTCTTTGATGCCAAATTTGCACTCTCATCTAGAGACAAACTTATTTTCACTGTTTTT